GCTGTGACCAAAGTATCCAACGATTTAATTGCTGCTAAGTCTCGCGGCGAATACTCTATCCTAATCCTCCTTGATCTTTCTGCCGCCTTTGACACTGTCAACAGCTTCTTCACATTCTCCGTAACTTTGGTCTACGGGATTCTGCTCTCTCCGGGTGCTCCTCCTACCTCTCCCAGTGCTCCTTCAGTGTTTCTTTCTCTGGCTCTGCCTCTTCTCCCCAACCCCTCCCTGTCGGCGTCCCCCAAGGTTCTGTCCTCGGCCCCCTACTGTTCTCTATCTATACTGCCTCCCTTGGTAAAATCATCAGCTCTTTTGGCGTCCAATACCATTTATAAAAAAAAAAAAAAAAATGTAGAAGGAAGGGAAGGCACCTGGATGCCAAAATCCCAACTTGGGGTGTGTCGAACTTTCTTTTAGGGGATAACCCTTGTATATACACAGTAGGTAAGTAGATAGGTGAGTAATCCTAAGCTAAAAATAGCAATAGGAGCTCAAAGAAGAAAGTTCAGCAAAAGATGCTAATATGACATATATCTAAAAAATAGCTTTATTGGAAAAGGGTCTACTCAAGGTATGATCCCTAATAAAAGAGACAGGCTAAATTAAACTAAATACACCATAACCACTAAAACGTAATGATATACATTGGGAGTAATGGACTCCAACACAAAATCTAGAGAGAGAGCTGGGAAGAAAATATCTGTAGCCACAATACTAATATCGAGCAGCAAGGATCCCTAAACACCAATCCTGATATGTACAGGCCCATATGTGGTGAAAGAGTAAGAGAGGAAGAGACTAGAGTACAGAATATGTCTGTATCTGTCTGACTGCCAGACAGGATATTAAATACTGAAACAGTATCAATAGAGCATTCACTCAAATGTCAGCACGGAAACAATGTATCTCCTCTGTATGAAAGTAATTGGCTTAGACACTGCTATTGTATTGTCAAAGGCGCTTGTAGAGCGCCGAAACGTGCGTTAGGTCCTTTTTTTCTTTTATTTTAAACTTCTCACCTCGTAGATGTGATCACAGGGTGGGGGCTATGGACTCCTATATCTAGTTATATTAGCTGATTATAGCCATCTGTGATGAGCAGCATAGAAGGAGAGTAGAATCTTTTTTCCTTTACAGGACCAGCTAGTAACGCCTTACACGAGCAGCGCTAGCAGTCAGCAACTTTTTTGATCTCCTTTGACAGACCGGGCTTTTCGCATGCAATAGCAGTGTCTAAGCCAATTACTTTCATACAGAGGAGATACACTGTTTCCGTGCTGACATTTGAGTGAATGCTCTATTGATACTGTTTCAGTATTTAATATCCTGTCTGGCAGTCAGACAGATACAGACATATTCTGTACTCTAGTCTCTTCCTCTCTTACTCTTTCACCACATATGGGCCTGTACATATCAGGATTGGTGTTTAGGGATCCTTGCTGCTCGATATTAGTATTGTGGCTACAGATATTTTCTTCCCAGCTCTCTCTCTAGATTTTGTGTTGGAGTCCATTACTCCCAATGTATATCATTACGTTTTAGTGGTTATGGTGTATTTAGTTTAATTTAGCCTGTCTCTTTTATTAGGGATCATACCTTGAGTAGACCCTTTTCCAATAAAGCTATTTTTTAGATATATGTCATATTAGCATCTTTTGCTGAACTTTCTTCTTTGAGCTCCTATTGCTATTTTTACCAATACCATTTATATGCAGATGACACGCAAATCTACCTGTCCTCCCCTGATCTCTCTCCGCCCACCTTGACTCGTGTTTCTGACTGCCTCTCTGCTATTTCCAACTGGATGGCTGCTCACTTCCTTAAACTCAACCTGTCCAAAACAGAACTTCTAGTTTTTCCTCCCTCAAGTGCTGCTACTCCTGTGTCTGTCACCATCCAAGTCAACGGCGCTACTATCACCTCTACCTCCCAGGCTCGCTGCCTAGGAGTTCTTTTTGATTCTGATCTCTCTTTTACTCCCCATGTTCAATCGATAGCCAAATCCTGTCGCTTCCAACTCAAGAACATAGCGCGCATCCGCCCATATCTAACGCCGGACGCGGCTAAGGTACTGGTTCATGCTGTTGTTCTCTCTCGCCTTGACTATTGCAATCCCCTTCTCACCGGTCTTACATGTTCCCAGCTTGCACTGCTGCAATCTATAATGAATACGGCTGCGAGGCTTATTTTCCTGTCCGGTCGCACCTCCCACGCCTCCACGCTCTGTCAGTCCCTGCATTGGCTTCCAGTTAGATATAGGGCCCAATTCAAAATTCTGGCGCTTGCTTACAAATCCCTACATAATGCTGCTCCAACATACCTATCCTCCCTCATACACAAGTATGTCCCGACGAGACCCCTGCGCTCAGCCCAAGACCTACTCCTATCCTCTGCCCGGATCCCCACCTCTGATGCTCGCCTTCAAGACTTCTCCAGGGCTGCACCTATTCTGTGGAACTCCCTTCCCTCCTCAATCAGACTTTCACCCAGCCTCCATTCCTTCAAAAAATCTTTGAAAACTCACTTCTTCATTAAAGCGTATCAATTAAACTGTCACCAGGTTTCTCATCCCCCACCCCATGACTCCGTTCCTTCACTTGTCAAAAATGACCTACCAAGCACTCAATAAACCCTTCTGTAACAAACGATTTAATTCCCCTACTTTAACCCTTTGTGTCACTATACCCCACTCCCTCTAGCATGTAAGCTCATCGAGCAGGGCCCTCAACCCCCTCTGTTCCTGTACGTCAGTGGTCTGATCTCAATTATGTGTCTGTTAGTCCACCCATTGTACAGCGCTACGGAATTTGTTGGCGCTATATAAATAATAAAATAAGAAGAAGAAGAAGAAGAGCCAGACCCCCAACTCCCAACTACCCCGGCCAGCACACTGGACCCCAGGGAAGGAAGCCTCTTTCAAAGGTAGGAAACTGAAGGGTGTCTGTCTGTGTGTGTGTCAGTTTGTATGTATGTGTGTGTGTCAGTTTGTATGTATGTGTGTGTGTCAGTATGTATGTGTGTGTGTGTCAGGTTGTATGTCTGTGTGTGTGTCAGTTTGTATGTATGTGTGTGTGTGTCAGTATGTATGTATGTATGTGTGTGTCAGTTTGTATGTATGTGTGTGTGTGTGTCAGTATGTATGTCTTTGTGTGTGTCAGTATGTATGTCTGTGTGTGTGTCAGTATGTATGTCTTTGTGTGTGTTAGTATGTATGTCTTTGTGTGTGTCAGTATGTATGTCTGTGTGTGTGTCAGTATGTATGTCTGTGTGTGTGTCAGTATGTCTGTGTGTGTCAGTTTGTGTGTCTGTATGTATGCCGGTGTGCCAGTCAGTATGTATGTGTATGTGTCAGTATGTATGTCTGTCACAGTGTCAGTATGTCTGTAACAGTGTCTGTGTGTGTGTCAGTGTGTATCTGTATGTTGTCAGTATGTATGTATCTGTGTGTGTGTGCCAGTGTGTATACCTGTGCATGTATCTGTATGTAGCCAATGTGTGTATCTGCATGTGTGTCAGTGTTTGTATCTGCATTTGTCAGGTTATGTATCTGTGTGTCTGTATGTTGTCATTGTGTATGTCTGTGTATCTGTATGTTGTCAGTGTAAGTGCATGTGTGCATCTGTGTGTCTGCATGTGTGCCAGGTTGTGTGTCTGTATGTGTGTGTGTCAGTGTGTGTAAATGTGTCTGTATAGCTGCATCTGTATGATTGTGTATATCTGTGTATCTGCAAGTGTTTCTGTGTGTGTATGTGTATCACAGTGTGTGTGTGTGTGTGTGTGTTTGTGACAGTGCATGTGTATTTGTGCATACATCTCAGGATTCAACACTACACGCAAATACACACCTGCATTCAAACTTCAACACTACATATAAACACACCTCTTTTTTTAAACAACAAAATTATATATAAACACACCAGTGTATTCATAAACCAACACTACACATAAATGCATACTTGCATTTAAATGCCATCTCCACATACAAACACACCCCTACATTCACACAAACATACTCCATACAAAAACATGCTTACACTCAAACACACAAATACTGCTCAGTGCTAAATATAACCCTGCATGCATAGGAAAATGGTAGCGCCCCAGCTGTCAAAGCATTGTTGGAGTTGCATGACAGATGGGGATCTACCTTTTGCCCCCTCTTGCCCAAAATAATTCATGCACCAGAGCCCTCTCTACTTTACGTCCGCCTCTGAGTTGGGGTGGGGGGCATGATTGCATGCCAGGGAGGGGACGACTGGGTTCAGGGGGCCCAAGCAAATGTTTGCCCAGGGTCCAATCCATATTAAAGACGGCCCTGAGTCTGATAGATTCTTTCCAGATAAATTAAAAACCTCTATGTCGTTAACTGTTTTCTCCTTGCTCCAAACATAATTTCTCCCTCCTCGTTTTCCTCTTCTATTACTCTGTGTCTTTTTTGAGGTGTGCTCTTTGGATGGTTTGTCCATCTTTGTCTTTGTTCTAAAAAAATATTATTAGATTCTTCCTTGTTTGCTCTTAAAGGTTCGAATCTGTTTTCTAGGGGTGTTTCAAAGCTAGCTTTTCTCTGATGAGTGTTGTTTCTTATTGGACTTTTTCTCAAATTTTCTTGGTTCCTATGCCTCTCTACATTATGGGGCCTATTTCTTGGAGTAAAAGCTCTTGGTGCTCTTTCTATTTTTTTCTCTTTCTTTTCCATTTTTTCTAACTAGCCCATTATCCTCATGTCTCATTCTGCTTTCTTCTAGCTCTGGCTCTCTAACAATAAAACTATGGCTAAATTGCACATAAGCAACACAGAAATCATACCAAATCAACTACAAACCCCGATTATACCTGCCTGCATTGTACTCCGTCTGTTTTTTGTTCAGTCTGACAAGTACTCACCTCAACTTTGATCTGCAGCCTAGTGTGCCGGTGTATAGGAGAAGCGGCCGATCTCCCGACCTGGCGAGCGCAACTGGCTGAATCCCAGTCCACACCTTGGAGGCCACTATGACACAATGCACCAGAGGGGTGAACCTACAGAAGCAGGAGCCACCCACTTCCAGTTATTCAAGATGGTGAAGACCACATGTCTCCACCAACCCAGCTCGGCACCACTCACACTCAAAGAAAAACTGGATGAAATACTCACCAACTTCTGGAGCCATTTGCAACGAAGAGCCAGTGAGTACCAGCAACAGCATACCATCCTTGAGACCCAAACGCAGCCATCTCAAAGACATCCCCGGCATCCTCAGCAACTGATTTTAGCTTTGTGTCTGGGCCGAGCCAAATGGCATCGGAAACGCCTGAATTCCTGCAGAGTGGCCCAAGCCAAACACAACTCACCAACGCAACGGCTCAAACATTGGACTTTTCTTAAGCTGTCCAGAGAGTCAGGCGTGCTGGAGAGGCCATGGAGGCCGAAATTGAGCATACCTCCAAACTTAATTGTGACACTACCACGGCCTTCGCACAGAGTCCTGTGTCAAGGGACTGTTTGGCTGTACCTACACTCTGTCGAACCACTAAGTGGCATACACTGACCTCGGACATGAAACTGCCGGCTGCCACTCACCCATGTAGCCACTACAAGCAGCACTGTTTTAGTTAACATATAATTCTGCAGTTTTTTCTCTCTTCCTGACTAACGTTAGCTAGGCTTTTTATTTTGTGCCATTCCTCAATTTAAAACTTTTCAGGAAGCCTCTTAGGTGTTCTAACCTTTACTCGCCTGTTTCTCTACCATTATTTACAACCTTCACTTGTTTCCCCACTCCTGATTATGTTGAGTGCCCAGCAGTGTCATGGCTCTTCTGTCGGCGTGGCTGCAAATAAACTAGACAGCCACGCCGCCAAAAAGGTATCTAACTTACCTTGGTCGCGGTGGACAGCTGCCCGGTCTCCCTCCGTTCCGGTCCCCAGCAGGTTCTACGTTCTAAGGAATTTATATATATATTTATAATAAACTTACCTTCACCCACATTAAAGATGGCGCCAACGTTCTGCGATATCACGTCATAGACGTGCATGCACGTTTTGGGGTCAGAAGTCAGAGACAACCAATTACAGCCTACACAGGGTTATTTAAACCCAAATTACTTTTTTGCCAATGCTCTGTTGTGGTTTCAACTAGCTGGTTATCCGAGAGTGTGTTCTTGATCATGTTTTTTCTTGTATTTGACTTTGGCTTTTTTTGAGTTCCCTGATTTCTGGTATCCTTGACTTCTGACTTTCCTCATCATTTCGTCTCATTCTGTGTCCCTGACCTCGCCAAGTATTTTGACTATTTTCGGTTACGTTAAGTCCGGCCATTCTAAGGCCCGGTTAGACGTCATCCTTAGTCTTTAGGTGTGATACAATTCTGCTGGTCCAGGGCTGTGTTTGACTTGTGCTGGCTCTGCCCCTGATATGCCTCCTTCACAGTCTCAGCCAATCCTATGGAGAAGCATTGTGATTGGATCAGAATAACACTTCTGATGTTGTCAGCAGGCAGCTTGCTGTTCTGAGGCAAACAGGGACAAAACCAGCATCTTCAGTAAGATTTTACTATATTTAATGATAGTTGTTTTTGCCCTTAGGTTGACCCTTTAAATCCACCATAAGGCAAGTAAAGAAAGGTAATTTTGGGTGTTTATGCGTATACCTAAATCAAGCTTGTTACTAAGTATTCAGAATCTTTTAATTTTTTTTCACCTTAGGGCGTGGCCCCTTTTTTTTTTTAACATTCTTTATTTTAGGGAGTGCATAGAATAACAAACAAGTTTTCAGAAACACTTTCCAGAAATATACGATAATGCATGAGTGTTGACAGAGCTGGAAAGTTAGAGTACAGCACTTTTTATGTAAGATTAGTTAGAACAAGCTAGGCAATATATGTCAGTGGTATAAAATGATAGCATAAAACAGGGCATGACAAGTTTTCTTGGAATCTAGGAGCCTGGTTTTTCAATGTCAAAAATACAATTCCTAAATAGATACTATAGTCACCAGAACCACTACTACTTAATGTAATTGTTCTTGTGTCTATAATCTGTCCCTGTACACTTTTCAATGTAAACCCTGCCTTTTCAGAGAAAAGGTAGTATTTACATTGCTGCTTTGCATGCTTATTGGCGCAGCATGGTGTTTTGCCACACATGCGCAATAGCCTCACAATGCTTTCCTATGGGAAGCATTGGATTGGCTGAGATCATCAAGATTGATGATCGCAGTCATGGAGGCAGGGCCAGCTGCGGTGAGATCAGTACGGCGTTGGGGGGAGAGGTGAGTAAAAAAAAACTTTTCCCATGTGATTGAACGTGAGTGATGTCATCTAAACACACAAGTACTCACTCACGCACACACACTCACTCACTGACACATCCACACACACATCTGCAATAATCACACACATTTATGTGACCACCCAGCCTCCCTGCCTGGGTTCAGCTTTCCCTATGATCCAGTGGGGCTGCGATAAAGCATCTCGAGGTGCACGCTCAGTGACGGGAGAAGGTCGCTTCTCCACTTCACTTGCACGGCTGGCTCGATGGGCCGCAAGGATTACCCCTATGATGGCATACCATTTGCAATAGTAGACAACCCAATGTATTGCAAATGGGATATGTCCAGTCTTTTTTAGTAGCCATTTGGTCACAAACACTGGCCAAAGTTAGCGTTAGTATTTGTTTGTGTGTGAAAAATGCAAAAAACGCCAATTTTGGCCAGTGTTTGTGACTAAGTGGCTACTAAAAAAGACTGGACATACCCTGTTTGCAATACCTTGGGTTGTCTACTATTGCAAATGGTATGCCATCATAGGGGTAATTTTCATTCTTGGGCTACCATAGGGTCTCAAAGGCAACGTAACCAATCTGGCGAATTTTAATGTGAAAAAAATGAAACGCAAGCCTTATATTTGACGCTGTAACTTTTGAAAACACCATAAAACCTGTACATGAGGGGTACTGTTGTACTCGGGAGACTTCGCTGAACACAAATATTTGTGTTTCAAAACAGTAAAAAGTATCGCAGCAATAATATCGTCCGTGTAAGTGCTGTTTGTGCGTGAAAAATGCAAAAAAAAGTCACTTTTACTGGCGATATCATCGTTGTAATACATTTTACTGTTTTGAAACACTAATATTAGTGTTCAGCAAAGTCTCCCGAGTAGAACAGTATCCCCCATGTACAGGTTTTATGGTGTCTTGGAAAGTTATAGGGTTAAATATAGTGCTAGCAAATTAAATTCCCTTTACTTTCAGCATGGGTTGTCAGGCAGGTCCCGCTAATTGTAATTAATTAAGATACCTAATTATGTAAAAATATTACATAAATATATATGTAGAATTAATATATGTATATATATATACGTATGTGTGTGTGTGTGTATGTATATATATATATATATATATATATATAATTTTTAAAAAATATTTTTATTTATATATAGGTATATATATATAGTGATATATACGTATATATTTATGTATATAGATATATATATATATTAGTTTGTTCTACGTGTATTTTGATATAAATATATATTAATATCACAATACAGTTAGAACGAAATAACACACATCTATATATTTTTAAATTATTTATTTTTAATTATTTTTTTAATTTTATTTTTTAACTTATTGACATATTTTTTTATATTATATATAAATATATATATAACAATAATTATATATATTTAATCAGTATCAGTCTACGTGTAATTTGATATTAATATATATATATATATATATATTAATAGTAAAATACACCTAGACAGTGTATGTGTGTATGTATGTGTGTATATATATACTTAGATCATATATATATGATCTAAGTATATCATTTTATTTTTTTACACTTATTAACTTTAATTTATTTTATTTCCAGCCAGCAGGGGGACTACCTGTCATTACAGGCAGTCCCCCTGCTGGCAAAGCAGCAGCCAGCTAACCCGGCCATGTGATTGTGAGTTCCTCGCAAGGACCTCACTCTCACATGGACGGGGGGGCTGCAGGAGGTCGGATGTGCCGCGGGGGGCTCCCTGGGAGTCCCCCCAACCGCGATCGCCGGCGTGGGATCGTCGGCGACTGGGTAAGTAAAAAAGAAACGGAGGGCGTACTATTACGCCCTGCGACGTTTAGAGCCGCCTAAAATAGGGCGTAATAGTACGCCCTCCGGTCTTAAGGGGTTAAAGTACCACTATAGTGCCAGGAAAACATACTAGTTTTCCTGGCACTATAGTGCCCTGAGGGTGCCCCCACCTTCAGGGTCCCCCTCCCGCCGGGCTGGATGGAGAGCAAGGGGTTAAACTTACCCCTTTCTCCAGTGCCGGGCGGGGAGCTCCTCTCCTCCTTCTTCCGTCACCGGCTGAATGCGCATGCATGCGCATTCAGCCAGTCCAATTCTCAATGCTTTCCTATGGACGCTGGCGTCTTCTCACTGTGAAAATCACAACTGCTATGTTTCTAAAAAAAAAAGGGGGGTTAAACCTAGCTGGACCTGGCACCCAGACCACTTCAGTAAGCAGAAAAACAGCGGGAAACTGGAACAGTATATAAAGAAGCAGCAAAAGTTTAATCCTGTCAGAGTGGACTGGAGCAGGAATGGTGCGGACTGGCCCCCTCCTCCCTCCCTTTACTTTTATTAAATTATATAGTCGTGGTGTTATGAAGCATTGGAGCAAAAGTCATCCTCAGGGTCAAGTTCTGAGGAAGGAATAAGTCAAGTAATAGTAATCACTAAAATTCCCTGGAAATGTCAGTTTCCCTTTTATGGCGATAACGATGTGCAAAATGTTCTCTGCAGTGACTGGATATGTTATTGGTTCTTAGAACAGCTTCCACTAAGAAATGCATGAGTTTATTAGAAAAAGGGTGAAAAAGCCATCTAGTCTGAAATTTGATCTAGTGGCACTAGACCATTCTCTATATAGCTCTGCCTGTCTGTACTTCATTGACCTTCAGAGAAAAAATGGGTGATGTTTCTCTGTGCTTGTTTTTGCTATTAGCGAGCATTCCATTGCTCACTAACTGCTTGTTTACCATCTCGGGTTTCAAGCTAGTCTCTTGCACAGAGGAAGAAAGCATGTTTCTCTTCTTGGAAAGCTGTTCCCACCTTCAGTGCTGAACACAACAAACTGTCTGGGAAGCTTAGAAAATTGCATCATATTATTATTAATACCCTGATGTAAGCTCAGCGTCACTGATTTCCATCTTATATCAAATTAAAAACAGTCTCACTAGAGGCAACATTTGTAAAAAAAAAATAAAAAAAATAACATAACTACAAAATTGTTTAAAATAAGCCAATTGCTTTCATAAAGATAAATGATTTAGCTTTTTTTGTAAGATTATTTTTAATATCAGTAGGAGCAGAGAGGACCAGAACCACCATGTTTACCGGGACACGTGTAATTTTGTCTTATTTCTAAAAACACATAAAAACAGCAGCCCTTCAGTATGTATAATGCATATTCTGCAGGATTCCTCATTGCTTAATCTAATACACCTTCTTCTGAATTCTACATACTACAGGGCTACCCTTTTCATGTGCTACCCATAAA